ATAAAGAGATTATATTGTCCGGTAGTGACGTCCGTTTCCGCCGAGCGATGGGAAATTTTCGCGTATATATTTAACGGTCAAACTTTTATAAATCGGTTTTTTTTCTCGTCCGCTGTGTGTACCCGGAGGCCGGATGGGTTCGCTATTATTCCTTTACGCATTTTCCAGTAGCGCGTGTCTTTTGTGCCGTTTTCCGGGATTAGTTTACTCCACCCCACCCCGACGACGACGGCGATGCGACGTTATTTTTGTTTTTTAACAGTCGTATCGGTCGACACAATATTATTGAATTTAAAATTTATTAACATTACACTGTACAATATTATGTACTACTCTACGCCGACGATCTATACAGTATATACATAAACGTAAATATTTATTTAATATTGTTAGTTTTACAGCGTGAAATAGGTATACACCGAATCTCGGGTAATCGATAGGTACGATATTAATTCGTAGGGCACGTCGACCGACGTAACAATGTGTATAATATATTATAATACAATAACATTACAAAAACGATCGTTGTTGTGTTTACTCTTTTTCCTTATCGCGTGACGTAGTGGCCGTGCGTGACATAAAGTACGGATTATTATTAAAAATATGTACATAATTACATAGGTACGCATATATAATTATTATAATGCGCTTTATGTCCTATACCGGGTACCGTACGGTGTTTAATAAATTAAATTTTTTACCGTTTTTGGTCGAATTTCCTCCGAAAACGAAGACTGTTCTGACACTGTTGCACCCACCGCGTTGCCAACGTTATATTTACCTATTTATATATATATATATATATATATATGTATATATGTTTGGTGATGTCGTGGCTATAACGTTGGAAATCGTTAACTTTTTCGGCAGAATCGATTTTGTGCCGTTAATTTTAATACAATAGAATGAAATGGACGATTATCAAACTTAAAGGCACCTAAGAACATTATCTGCGTCCGTACGTTGGTATTTTTCTCGTTATTATAATTTTTAAGCAAAATACGATCACGCGAAATATATTGAAATTTAAAAACTATCGTAATTATCGTTGAAAAGTTTAAAAAAAACCCAATGTACACACACAGAAAATGTTTACAGACCTTTACGTTTGATAATTAGACAATTCACTAAAACTAACACAACAAAATCGGTCCAACCTAACGAAAAGTTGGCATTATCTAATTTTCAACATTATTCGTAATATAGGTATATGTACACGTATAATTATAGTATATTAAATTTAATCATCAAATTTCACTAAAATTACATTCTTACATTGATGAACAAAACAGAGGATATAAACTAATTTCTTACATTGACGAATAAAAGAGAGAGAAATATTTGATCAAAATAATTTAATTTTTTTGAATTCGTTTACAAAATAAAAACCACACGAATACATAATATATAATAATGTATCTTTTTCCGCGTATATTTGGATACTTGACAAAAGCTCAAACTCGGAAATTAGATTTTTTTTTTAGGCCTATTGAAACGATAACATTATGATCGAATTTCAATATTAACTTTACCGTGTTGTTGTTGAAGGAGGGAGTTTGTTTTAACTTTCTAAACCCCCAATAAATGAAGCCAAGGGGACAAAAATGCATGGTGCAGGTACTAAAAATGACGTCTTAGGATAACGAGAACGGGTGCAGCTACTGTTATAGGTAATTAATTGTATTATTATTAGCAATGATTAACTATTGCTAACGAAAAAACGATTCTGAGCGGAGTTAAGTTTATAGTGATGCTTTGTCAACAATATACTTGTCATATTATAGTAAAATAATTAAATAGGCATTATATATTACCTTTAATATTATTTGTTTACAGTATCGATTTTCCCGTTTTTCCTACGGTTTTTCCATGTTTTTTCTGGTTTTTGACATTTTCTGTGAAAATTCTTGAAAAAATTAAAATATGACCTCTCCCCACACTGATTTTCTTTCAAAAAAAAACGCTACATGGAAAAATCGGATCAAGTTCTTTGGTAGAAAAGTTGTCTGTAGAAAAAAAAAATAAACATCTTTGTAAAAACATAAGCTTCTTCACTCCACTAAGAATCTAAAATTTGTGTCTTTGCCATTCCTCACACATTCACATGCTCAGATTTCGTGTTTTTAAAGGAAACAATGGGTTTTAAATACCCTTACAGATTTATGAAAGTTAGTAACTTGGTTAAAATGTGTGTGTATGTATAAATAGAATTGTTATCGAGAATGTGGTTTTAGAAGGTTTGTATTTCAATTCTCTGCCCCACACCGCCTGTTAGTATATTAGCAAAATATCGAGAACTATTTTACCTATTTTCATTATATAACAAAAAAATAAATAAAAAGAACATGAAATATTGTCACGGCAACAAGTTAGCTAGGGGAAAAATTGACTCTAGTGACGGAGCTGTTTGTTATTACTTTTATTTCGATATCGTTACGGCCATAATGGCGCCGACATGCTAACCGTTTACACGAACCTGTGTAGGCTATCCTAAAGTCTTTAAATTTATTCAATTTTATCTATTTTCGACTATTAATTCTGTACATTTATAACTATAAATATCTAACTATAGTTAGCTTTGAGAGCTTTATTAGGAATTAAGTTACTTTATTCTCAACAATCGCTGACTTTTTAATTTGCACACCTAATTGTCATTTGAATTAGTTAATGTTTTTCTTAATTAAACGATTGTGTTTTGTTCCTTAATGATACTTCCACTTATTTGGAACTATACTCGCAATGGATAATATTTCACATCGCGTAAATGTATGGTCGAGTTCAATTTTTATTTCAATACCAAGTAATCCCTTGTATATCTATGCAATTGATATTATATGAACGTGTTTTAAGTTTTTTTTCTGTAGAACTAGAAGTAATTTTATTTGATACTGCAGAATTCGATTCAGTATCGCAATTAAATGAAATATCGTCTTCTTCTAACTTTTGTCTTCCGACAGTACATTTATACATTATTTTCATTAAAATTGAATTTGTTTACAATACAATTTCTATATACGTTTACAGCATGTGCCGTATAGGTATATCAGAAACCTGACCGTTTTTTTTTTTATAAATTATAATAAAATTGTTACGATATTTGATAATCTAACTCCAATTATAATATAATATAACAAGTATTCGAACTAGGTAGGGTTATAAATTGGATGATAGGCTAAGTCGAGGCGGTAGCAAACAAACCAATACGGAAATTAATAGATTCAACGTTACAATGTTATCACAGATTATGTAAGACACGATTAGTTTCAGCAATCATAAATACGGCTGTACACATTTCTCACGGTAGTTTCGCAAACACAAATCGTAAAATCGATTTTTCTTAGACATTTTACAATGTGATATTATTTTAAACAATTTTACGGCACCCCCGGTTCAAGTTCGCGGCACCCTGGTCGGGAACCTTTGGTGTCCGGTCAAAGTGTGGCTTCAGTAACACTCACGCTCAACGGTTTAGTGTTGAGTTGGTGAGTCGGTCGGTATTACGATTTTCCCGTGCTCGGTAATTTATTAGGTTTTTGACATAATGTTACGGCGGCGTCTAATTTTTTTTTCGCCAGTTGTTGTGTTTTCCAGTTTACCGGGTACCGAGTATCATTTCTAATTTAGCGAATGAACGCGGGCGGATGGGAAACATCCCCTGCAACACGTATTTCTGCGGGGATGGCCGCCACCTAGTCGCGAACGTTTGCGCGCGACAGTGTGCAAGAGCGTTAAAAAAAAAAAAAAAAAAAAAAAAAAATGCACGCAGAGCGGCGGGTGCGGCCGTACAGCATAACGGTGTTCGGGCACGGACGTTTATATTCATATTATATTATCGCAGTAATTGAAGTTAACGGACAGCCGAGGGTATAACGTGGCGGCCGAGTGTATAATATTATGTATTATATATAATATAACTTTGGACGCGCCGCGGTATAGTTTTACACGCGATTGCCGCGCGGGGTATGAATATTACCCGGCCGGGGTGTACCGCGGATTGAAGAGCGAGCGAGACGCGCGTCGGCTACGGCGGCGGCGGGGCGCGGGCCGCGGGATAAGGTGTAAGCGGACGGGGGGTGGGGGAGATTCGCGAGTGAGAGGGAATGATAGATCAAGTGTGATAGCGCGAGAGGGCGGCGCGACGGCAGAGATAGAGCCGGAGAGAGAAAGAGAGAGAGAGAGGGCGATAGGGGGAGAGCGAGAGAGAGAAAGTGAACGGGCGAAAGAGAACGAGAGGGAGCGAGAGTGATGAGAGACTCCGCGCGTCGTCGGCGGTACGGTATAAGGCGTGTGCGGGACGAGAGTACACACACTATACGGTCCCAGCTGCTTCGGCCGCCGTTGAATTAGAAGCTGTGCCGTCGTCGTCCACTTAGAGCGGCGGCGGCGGCGGCGGTGCGGGTGATGTACTACGGCGAGCGGTGCCCGTGTACGACTGGCGGTCCGAGAGTCGCGCGTGATACGTCGCCGCCGCCGCCGGGACCGTCGGTTTGCGCAAGCGGCACCGGCACGCTGAAAGCAGGGCGCGCCACAGCGTCGTCGTAGCACCAGCAGCAGCTTCGCCGGCGCGGAGGGTGCATCATCCTCGGCGTAAAGGCTCCGGCGTGCGACAGTGGTGGTAGTCGAACGACGACAACGACGCGGCGCGGACCTTTAACAAGCACGGCGCCACGCGTGTTCGCCTCGCCTATCCGTACGTCCGACCGCTGTACTGTACTGCACTTCTGCCGAGGGCCCACGTTATAACGCGGGATTTCGAACGAAAAAAAAAAAAAAAAATTAATAATTAATCACCCGTTTGTTTGCGCGTGTTAAGTAAAACGTTCGCGAACATATCGCCCGCGGGCGAAATTAACGTTCGGTACGTGGCGCTATGTGACGGTACCGGACCGGACCGAAAGTTTCGTCGCGGGTCTCTGCCGGGACGGGCCGGCGACGCTTGACCGCCGTGCGTCGCGGCCGTCACGTCGGCCGATCAACCGTATAGTAGTGACACGCGATCCAGCCGCTCTCGTATAGGACTCTGACCGGTGGCGGTGACCGCACGTTTACCAGGTACTTTTATTTTGATTGCCCCCGGAAAAACGCGCGCAATTTTCGGCGCATCCCACGCCGCAAGTTCGACAAACTCGATAAGCTCGTTACGAGTCGGCGGAGGAGAGTCGCGGCCTACGACAGCATGTCCGGTTCCAACGCGCGCTGATCCGCGCCAACCGTGCCATCAACCGGGCCGGTTGATACCAGGGCGAAGAAGAGTCGGCGACGGCGGAGGCGAAGGCCTACTACATCGGCACATTCCGCCGTCACCTACTGCCCGGGACCCCGTGTCGTGCTTACTGACCGTTACGGCTGGGCAGTCCGTCTTTACGTGCAAGAAATAATGAGGTATAAAATTTATGTACAATATTTTGTTAACTCGTACGTCGCGAATCAACTCGCCCAAACTCAACCCCCCCCCGCCCAAAAAAAAAAAAACCCCGTCCTCCGTCCTCCGTTCACCCCCACCGTCGACGTCTGTTGTATTAAAACGAAAAAACAAAACGCGATCTCGTGTCATTTCGGTCGAACACGAAATCCGCGTATCCGCATATACGGCACGACGACGACGACGGATGACCAAAAACCTAATTACTTAATTAAACGCGTGATATTGTAATCACGCGGCATTACAGCGATACGGTTTTTATGATTTTTATTCTATTGTTTTTTTTTCTCAACTGAATATAATAGTATTTTGTATACTTGACCGCGGGCATAGGCGCAAGCAGTAATAATCATAGTTTTGGGAAATCCCGGTAATCACCGCCGTCGCATTTAAAAACGGGAAACCGCTCGCGCTTCGGGTGCAGTCTGTTATAATCGCCTCTCTCTTGTTAAAATCTCCTATTCTCTTACCGACCAATTCCCCTCCCATTCTACTCCGCCGCAAGAAAATTTGATAAACCGACGGGTACTCACGGCTCAAAAGAGGTACATTTGAATCACTTGATTCACAAAAAACCGTGTGGGTGAGACACGGGCGTTTAGAAATGTAACAAGAACTATTATGTTTTTACAAAACGAGTAATCCAATGAATTTTTGACAGCGGAAATTTGATAAATGTTATCGAAATTTAACAAATTCCAATAGATTTGTTGCAGATAGTATTTCGGCCTGAGTGGAAAATGTTATCGGCGATTCAAGGTAAAAATACTTTGAGCCGCCACTTCGAAAACGATCATTGTAATTTGAATTACGACGATTTTTACTGTAGAGGGCTCGGCGAATTGTTTTCGGTTTCGCGTAATATCGTTTCGTTCGCGTAAACATAACTGTGTACATACGATAACTCGACCGTGAGATACACGAGCTATGTGAACACGCCGACGCCCTGTATATTTCAGCATTTTTTGTTATCGAATTTTCGAGCGTTTTTTTTTTGTTTTCTGTTTTTTATCCGTTTCGTTTAGACGTAATCCGATGTTTGTGTATGATTTTTAATTGGGGAAAGAACAATAAACGATACACCGAATTTTCAGCTTCGGTTAATACCGCGCGCTGTAATCCTGTATTTTTCTTCCGGAATAAAACTTCGCTGACATATCGACGACGGTTCTCGTCGTTATATTAACCGTCTATCTTTCGTCCGCTATACGTATACGTATAACATATTTTATTATTATACACAATATCCAAACAAATCCCGGGGTGGCCGGATGATTTTTAGCGATACTTTAAAACGTAATTTATTACGATGGCGCGTTTCACATCGAAAATATTATTATACCTTATATATTATACATAATGATATATGAAAAGGGATAAAGGTGTTAACTGACATTTTGTTGGTTTTCTTTTTTCGAGATTGATATCATTTCATATATTCCGAATTGTTCCGACGTATTACGGACGTATACATAATCTCAGAACAACAAAAATCGTAAAAACCTATATTTACGAAGTCGCAGTGACGGAGTAGGGAGAAGTTTTGCGAGTGTGTTTTTTTTTTTAACAGTTATAGTCAGAGCCGTATTGAGCCTGGGGTATCAGTTTGAAAACGCCTCCTTTTAAGGTCTTACCCGGGGACGATTTTGGGGGTTAATTCTCTCTCAAATGGTTTGTTATTTTTTATAATTTTATTCAATTCATATTGAAATTTCAACATTTTACCCTCCACCTAACAAGATTTTTCCTTACTTTTCAATTTTTTTCTAGGTATATATGTTACGTTATTTGGTTTTACTGATGCTTCATTAATTACCACAAAACAATATTCATTACTATCTATAATATAGCGTTCAAAGCGTTCAAAAATAAAGCAAATAACAATTGTCATAATAATATTGAGATAATGTTAATTTTATTTCGAGTTTTATGGGCCGGGCGCCCCGTAGTTTTAAATAGGTTTGGCGTCCCGGCGAAAGTGTCCTCATTGCCCCCTTCTCTGTAACACAGTCCCGGTTGTAATGTATAATATCCGATTACTTTATTTGTTGGTCTTTTCCGCGAACAAAGGTGACATCCAGTAATTTTTCGTATCGAATCGTCATTTTAAATAATACGAAGTGTCCGGTTCTAGAACTGGGTATCTCCGTGTTTTGAAATCATTCAGGAGGTAGATCCGTGAAGTTAGACGCACAATATCAATATTTTCCAACCAAATTTTCCCAAAAATGTCTAAGTTATTTGTAACTTACACATTGTAAGTATTTGTAAATAAAAATTTGAAATTTGTAAGTCCAGTCGTTTTTAGTTATCAACAAATATTTATTTCACGGCTAACTTCCGCAAAATTTGGCCGTTTTGCCATTTCCAAATTTTTCACCCTGCCAAAATGTTATAGACCATTTGTAAGTATTTGTAAGCGTAAATCCACAATCTGTAAGTCATCCCTTCTTGAATCATCTCTGAAAAGAAGTAGTGGTCAATAGTGTTTGGTGTTCCGTTATAATTTACTATACAAATTGGACAAAAAACGACAAAGTTCGAAATTATTCCCCAATAGCTGAATTTTGGTGTAAAAGTAGTTTATACTTCATATATGAACATATACTAAAAGTCGTTATATTTACCCTTTGTGACATTTTTACCTGGCCAAAATGGTTTACATTATTTAAGTATTTGTAAACATGAATTTAAAATTTGTAAGTTTTCCTAATGGATTTATTTATATCTAAAAATGATGTTGGCTGTGCTATGTCAGTTGATTATAAATTAATTATTGATAGTTTATTTTATATAGATACTTACCAGTTTTATGTGAGTTTTCTTTTAACATTGTCACCAGAATAACGGTAATGTTTAAGCTAAATATAAAAGTTTGTGTTTCATATTTTATTATCATGTATGCGCATAGTAACTTTATATTTTTCCTGAATCGCCATTCTCTAATATTCTGCATTTTTATAATTTGTATCAGTTTTAATAATATTATTATTATTCTGTTAATTTAACTACTTATAATCATATAATCATATTATGTTAAATAATAATACTAATAATAGTATAATTTCATTCTCACCTACTATAGTGTTTTAGTTTTACATAATATATTCAAATGTTCGTGGTTTTTAACAATAAAAATAGACTTAGTCTTAGAGATATGTATACGATATGTTGAATTTTAAAATTATCAACGAGTAAAATGTTGGAAAGTGGGTACCATTAGGCTGTGTAATGTAAAGTTGGAGGTTACTGTAATGAAATGAATTTGAATTCAATGATATAACATTGTTTTAGATATTATAATTTTATTAATGGTGGATAAATGAAAATGAAAATAAAATTTGTCTCCAACTTCCTTTATTTTCACTTTTAAATTCTAAGTGGTTCGAAGAAGCTTATAGTTTTACAAAGATGTTTTTTTTTTTTAAACTGTACACAATTCATTTTTCTAGCAGAAGACTTACTCGGATTTCTACGTGTATCACCTTTTCTGAAAGAAAATCGGCGTGAGGAGAAGGCTATTTTTAGATTTTCTTAAGTTTTCTCGTCAAATGCAAAAAACCGAAAAATAAAAATTGGAAAATTTACTAAATATAATAAATATAAATTACGATTTTTATTTTTTGTGGACAATTTTTCTACCAGCAATTTTGCTCCAACTTTTAATGATAGCAATGTTTCTAAAAGAAAATTTCCGATCTGGGAATAGATCTACCTCTATGGCTCTTTAAATACATGTGAGTATTATTATATAATTATATTTTAATATATAATATAAGGCTCTGTACGTTAAAATGTTTGTCATCTACCCCTACAAAAAATCCTAAATACACCACTGGAAGGGATAACTTACAAATCGTGGATTTGCGCTTACAAATACTTACAAATTGAATAAAACATTTTGACCGGGTCAATAATTTGGAAATGGCAAAATTGCCAAGTTTCGCGAAAGTTATCCGCGAAATAAATATTACTGAATAATTCAAAACCACTGGGCAAACAAATTTCAAATTTTTGCTTGCAAATACTTAAAAATGACTTGAAAAATTTTGGGAAAATTTGATTGGAAGATATTGATATTGTGCGGCTAACTACATAGATTTTCAGGAGGCGCGAAAAACTAATGGAGTTATCTGGTTCGCGCGGTGTGTTTCGGTGCACAAACCCCTGCACCTTTCTCCTGAGATACTCGGTTATCGTACCGAACTATATACACTGGACACGTCCATTCGTATAATGGCTGTACATTACTTACGTCTCGAAAAAAAAAAATGCTTATTTTGCAGGTAGTAAATTCGACCGATAACTTACGTCCCGTTTCGGGGACGCAACTTAACTATGTTATTTCTCCTGTCCGCTGTAAAAGTCATAACCGAGTGGCGTTCCCAGACCTATAGGCAGCGTTCAAATTTATACGGCATTTACGCACATAATACAGAAAATAATGAAGATACTATCATAGTGAGTTAGTGTGATATAATTTAATGCGTATCGTGGCGTTTTCGTTAAAAAATGTTCGAGTCCTATTTATAATATTAAATGCTTTGAAAAACTTGATATCTATAGCCGATTCGATAGATATATCGTATACATTAATTAGATAAATTGGATTAACAGAAAACGTTTAGTATAATGCTCAGTACGTCGTATTATACAGTGTCCGTTTACGGTTTAAGAATGAAAAAAATGTTTAGCTCCAGCAAAATAATGTTTTATAATTATAACGACTATATAAATTCAGTAAATTTAAAACCATAACCATTTGTTAAAGTTCGATGGGCCACAAAATAATATTTCCGAACCAACTTCGCATAATCGTGATTCAAATGAACCTGTACGCCCCTTATACGACAAAAATCAATTAATGGACTAAAACATATTTCAGACATTTCGATAAAATGGAAACTTATTCATTCTGAATTTAGTGCAGATGCATCATTAATATACAACCTCGGATATCAATCTAGTAATCACTATTGTCTGTTATAATATTATTTGTGCAATTTAAAACTTCTACCGTGACTCACTTGCTGACAATAATATCGGACAAAAGTAGTATGGACTCTGTGTAATATAATACTAACTGAATCAAACGGTATCAAACAGAGGGATATACACAGGTCCGTCGTAAGATACTTTCCGCCCTAAAGCGAACATTTGATGCAAGTCTTTTTTGGACCTTTGAAATTATTAATTTAATTTTGCCGCTTCAATTTGATTTACAATTTTATGCCACCCTAAAGTAATGCATAGCTTTTTTGTACCCTAGCGAAGGACCTCAAGATACCTGGTTGTTGCACCTATCCGTAGACGAAATTATTCTTTATCGGAAAATTTAAAGACACGCCTTACCGGAAAAGAGCGTTGAGGCGACCGGTTCTTAACCGGAATCTTCAATTTCAAAATCTTCACGTACTATATAGATTATCCCACGAAAATATGACCATTGCGATATTTTGGAGAGTACTGACTTTTTCGATTTTTTTATTTTTGACAATTTGCAAAAAACAAGTGGCTTTAAAATGTTGCATTTTACGATACGTCAAGTCAGGTTACTTCCTTTTAAATTTTCAAACGATCACCTATATGTATATGTTACATATGCTCTCAAACATAGACAGTGTATTAATTTAGAACTTTAACAACAATAAAACGTATTCCGTCTATTTATGGAATATTCAATATATAAGGTCCCCGTTTGAATATCAAAATTAGATGGTCGCCAGTGTTTGTTTCAGACCTTCATTCGTGGGAGGATATCGTAAATTTCTAAGGGGGCATGCCAAATGTAGGACTGGATCTAGCTATTTTTACCACTTTACCACAGGAAAAAATTAAGCCAATACGTTCAATGATGACTTTTTTGTAGCTCGTTCAAATACGATTATTTATATAACACAGAATTTTTATTTTATCGTTAACAAGATAATTCATAGTACCTAGGCCAATAACTCATTTTACATATCATATCACATGTAGTTTACGTAGTAATGTCATACATTTTTAGGAGGTAGTATACATTATTCTGCGGGGAAGGGGATTATTATCACCCTTTTGGTCACCGCCTCCTAAAATTAATACTGGTGATCGCAATTTCACCACCGAAAATAAGGCTGATAAAAATAATGGCAACATAACATGTTAGAGTTACTTGTTTCTAATATTGTGAAAAATTAAAAGTAATTTCGAAAAAATTCAATACACTCTCTAAAATATCACAATGATTATATCTTTAAAGGACACAGTTTATGATATGTGCATGCAATTTTGTACCGGCTTATTTTGAATGCTATTACGAAATTAGGTGAATTTAGGTCCGAAAATATCAAATCGAATATCAGTTGTATTACATTTGAAACGTTAATATTGTATACTTGTATTTCCGCGCTAACGAACAAAATTAATAAAACTAATTTGATTGATTAAAACGCCCAAAGAAAAACCGACGAGACGAGACGAAAAAAAAATACTCGGTCGTACATTATTATATAGTGTAATTTTAGATTCTGAGTGAAGCGTGGAATGTATTAGTTTTAAAATTATGTTTATTTTTTGATACTGTGTACAATATTTATACCAGAAATCTTATTCCGATTTTCAAATACAGTATCTGAAAGAGAATTTTAACTAGTTGGTACTTAAGGGAGGTGATTTTTTGATTTTTCAGTTTTCATAATAATTGAGAAAAACCGGGAAAAACTTAAGAAAATATGAAAATGTACGAAAATATTGTTTTTATTATTTTATACCTTGTTTTTGTTTTTTTTTTTGTTGTAATTCAATTGAAAATATTCGTAGAGGTTTGGTATTTGGACAGAAACCTTAAATTTTTCTTAATATACGTCGTTTATTTAGTTTATTTAGTTTATTTCGTTTATTTATGTAGCCATTTTTAAGCTATTTATAGACATTTTAATTTTGCGAGTTTTTACGTAATTTTTATTTAGTAGGCACCCTGTGGATACAATTGTTAGACCAAATAGAAATACATGACAATTTAACAGAAGGTTCATAAGAAATTGTGTATAGTGGTAAACAAGAATAAGTTGAGTTTTTTTTATAAATTTTACTATCAAATTTTGATAAAATCATAAATATGGCGGCCTTTTAAAACATGTGTAACCGACTCCATTCAGAATCGTTCGGGCATCGTTCATAAACAATGATTAATCGTTGCATAAAAAGATACACATTAAATTATATCCTACCTTCCCAACTTCACGTACAACAGTGGCCCACCCATCATGCGAAGCATGTCCGTCTTCTTTTTTTTTTTTTTTTACAAAAAAACCATTTCGATTTTCAACAAAGTATTAGAAAAAAAAACCAATAATAGGTATCTATCGCAAATTACAACGAAATGAATAAACTTTTCTTTCGTTTCGACGTGAAACGTACATACGTGAGATCGGACAGGTCAGTTTTTCCAATTAGTTCAATCGTATAACATTCGATTTGAAAACGTACATATCAGAGGTTTGGACCTCTTAGATCCCTATAACGTTCTCCGAAATAGATTTTCAAATGCTCCCATATAAATTGAAATAAATTTAATGACTTTTTCTTTTTTTTCTTTTTGGCATACTTTACAAATAAACTGTACTTAACATTCGTAATAACAGTTTGTATCGACAATAATAATCATAAAACTTCTCGTGCTTTCTCAGCAACGTGTTCACGTTTCCTCTCGGTTGGGAAAACAACGACATATGCAAATAATATACTCACTTATTAAAATAAGACGAACATACTTCGCACGATGGGTGGGCGGTGGGCCACTGTTTTAGTCAAAAATTTGGGAAGGTAGGATATAAAAGGAAATTTAATACATATCTATACGTAACGATTAATCATTGCTAACGAAAATTACTGCTGAACGGAGTTTTTTTTATACATGTACGTAAATTCTCCCGGTTTTTTTTTTACATTTTTCCCAACTATTATAAAAACCACTGCAGGGAAAATCAAATAAATGACCTTCTTAAAATACCAACCAAATACAATTTTCTTTCAGAAAATGTGCCGCATTTGAAAATCAGAACGAGATTTCTGGTAAAAGTTGTGTACATAGTATATATATATATATATAAAAAAAAGCCTTCATTGTAAAACCAAACTAGCTTCGCTCAAAATCTAAAATTAAAATTGAAAAACGCTGGTTTATCCGTCTCGGTTTGAATTGAACTTTCGTGACTATTCAAATCATTCGAGTTTTCGGGAATTCTCATTTCGCTTTACTACCTGCACCGTATTACACGTCACACCGGTCCGACAAACAGAAAATTGGTCTAAATCGCTACGTGGCCGCGTATTTGCTGTATATACCTATATAGGTATATAGGTAGACGAATAAAGAATATAATATCCGTTTCGAATTTCCCCGTTAGTGGACTTTTTTTTTTTTTGTGGATTTTCAACGACAGTATATATATATATATATACACACACATATATAACTCCAGCCCTAACGACAATCAATTTTCCTCTGTATACGGGGGCGGCGTAGAAACCCCGATTATAATATCGGAGAGAAAAGCATAATAATACGTTTTTCTCGTATAATATTACGCATGATAATAATATATAATATATATACGTATGTATAAAATACGAGTACAACATATTATAATACCTACACAGGCATAATACAAATGCAGCATCAGGAGGTACCTATCGACTTCATTGATTGATTTGTTGCGCCGGTGACGCATTGCGATTTATATTTGCATACACTACTACATAATATTATCTTTCTCTCGATAGTATATAGTTAGGTACGCGCACGGTGTATATTATAATATTATACAGATCAGATTCGAATTTCCATTTTGTATTAGTCGCCCGTAATATAGGTAGGTACCCGTACACAATATTATCGCGGTACGTAGTTTATAATAATATTATTTCGTGACTGCCGCCGCCACAGTTAAACCGTTTTCGATAAATATCCACGCTGCGAATAACAACTATCCTGCAGGTATCGTTTACAATATTACCGTATCCGGCTCAGAGTGAAATTAACATGTTCCGAAAAAAAAAAAAAAAATAAAAATATCCGTGAGCAGCAGAATCCCGACTCTAGATCCGTGTGTAACCCCCTACCCCTATGCTGGTGTAAAAGACGTATTTTTCGCAAAACAATAAATAACCGCGATAATAATAATACAATAAGGCCAAATAACTGCAATTACCTATATCTATACTGCACTTCCAAAAATTATGATGAAATTCTATTGTAAAAATTGTAGGGAGAGGGTCTGAAAGTTTATACATTCGTAAGACAACGTTCTTGACCCTGATGCCATGTGTATACAAAATTTCATCCCCCGGCTCGTAGGTTTGTAGGGATGTGCGAATCTTAAAAACATCCCCTATCACAGTAACAAAATTGTGGAATTTATAGCACTTCGGTCCGTATATAAAAATGCTCTACTTACTGAGTTTGACCTGATTTTAGTCCAAAGGGAGCCGCTAAAAGTGTGTAAAAATAGCGGGAAAAGATAAAAAATATAACAGCATAACACCATACAGTTCTGTAGTCTCTATATTCAAAACATAAATGGGAACACGAATTTGTGACATTTATATGATTTTCAATGGTGAATTCGACTCTGTAATCAGTTTGTTTCATAACTCATAAGAATCACCATCATTAAGTTGCCTCCACCTCCCACTTTGTCCGTTCGATTTCAAAATACCACCAAATAATTGAAATTCAAGTTTCGCTAATCGCTAATCTATAGCAGTAATATTTACACGGAAAGTTTGAGTAAATTTGAAATGATTTTTTTTTCTGCTTCTTAGAATTGATCCATGAAATAATAAATATGTAACTGTGAAACTGTGTTAATCGTGTGTTCGTTATATTTTTTCACAGCCAAATCGCTAAACTAATTTCGATCAAATACTTTTACGTCCCAGAATTTAACACCCAAAGCGTTTTTATTGGGGGAGTGACATTTGATTTTTGGCCTTATAAATAAAAAATTGTATTTTATTGTTAATTAATGTCTGGTTTCCATCAAGTATAGATTCTGAGCAGAGCGATTTTACAATGATGGTTTTTTTTTTTTTATGTAAACAACTTTTTTTGAACGGAAATCTGATTGGAGTGGTACTTGATGGAGGTTATGTTTTGATTTTCCTAGGGGTTTTTATAATAAATGGAAAAAAAACGTAGGAAAGACGGTAAACACTCAGAATCTTTTGTCGTTAGCAATAATTGATCATTGCGTACAGCTATAAATTAAATGGAATCCCAAATTCTCACCTATAACAATGGTCTACACATCGTGTGAACTAGGTCCGTTTGTTTTTTCCTTTTAATTATTCACCATCGATGTTAACATCGATAAACCTATACAGGTTCCAAACTTTTTGTTCTCGTAAACACTTGTTCACTATCAATCTTTTTCGGCTTCGCGATCAGATCAAATGGTTCGGTGGGCGTATGAGTGGCGTCCGGGGGCGTATTTACGTGCGTAAATAGACCACGTGCAGCCTACAGCGACAAATTTTCATATCATTAATCAATTACCCTCCCTTAATGGGCGGAATTGTTTTCTTTACATTTTTTTTTCACGCCTATTATATAACTAATATAATATAAGAGGCAATGGACGTTTTTTAAGTGGCTCGCGGAGGCCAAAATTCTAAACACGCCTTTGGTGGCTAGGCGGTGCGTACAGGAAAAACGCGTCTACAGTGGTCTTATGTCCACAGGCTCTGATTCTCCCGGATTTGAGTCGTATAATGTTTCCCCCCCCCCCCCGATTTCGACATAGTTTCCTAGTAAAAAGAAATTCGCGCCTCTGGCCACTGGTCGCCCGTATAAATCGGCAGCTGCAATACGTGCGGTGGGCACGATCGCGGGGTACCGCGACGAAAATTTAGCGAACCCGAAACAAAATAATAATAATAATAACAAACACATTTTTTTTTTATCCGTCGAGCTTTTAATCTTGAGATTATTATCAACTCGACAATTACATATAATGTATATATATATATATATATATATATATATAGGTGTATATATACGTATACATAATATGTATTCGAGATTAAAAGCATTAGCCGGGGCCGCGTCACGTCACTGAAAACCCCGCGGTCCAAGTATACCGCGGCGTATATATTAGCCGCAAACCGTTCGGCACGGCTTAACATGGCGGCGGCGGCGGCGGTACCCAAACCTTCGCGTTTCGTTATTATTACCGTACCCCCCTTACTAACTCCTTAACCCTCCGGTTCCCCCTTTCCCACACCACCACACCACTCCGCCGCGAGATCCAAATTTGCGCCTATGACCGCAGCGGTTAAGCCCGTCACGACGTTTATTCGGTTTTTGTTTTGTTTTGTTTTCCCACGCAGATATATCCGCCTGCTACAATGTATAGGCATTGAATGTTAAAAAAAAAAAAAACAACAACAACAGCCGCAAGTGCGGAACCGGCGACGTTTTACACCCGCCTACGACATTACAATACAACACACCGCGGCGAAGAACAAAATATGCTGTCGACCTGCCGCACCGTTGTCGTCTGCGACGAACGGCGCGGGAGTCAGCCGGAGGATTCCGCGGCCGCGGATTCGTACCGGAAGAAAAAATGCTCTACGACGGAGCCGTTGCAGCCGTCCCGCGGCGGCGAATTTGCCGAACGGACGGCCACGGTGTCGGGACGGTGCAGTGACGGAGACCGCGAAACGGCGGAACGATCGACCGGAGTGACCGGGAAACGTGACGGCGTCGTCCGCAGCGGCCGGATCGCGGCAGTCCGGGACGCTCCGGGGTCGGAAATCGGCGCCTGCAGGGTGTACCCCACAGCGGGCGACAAAGCCGCCGACGAGAACGAATACCATCCGGTCCGGCGGCGGATCGTCGCCAACGGTAAATCCGGTGACGAAACGGCTGCGGCGACGGAAATCCAGTCTTACGTACCGCACAACGGTCGCCGACAGAACAACGAAGACCGTCCGCTGCGAAAGTGGTTGTTCGCCAGTTATCAACACCATCACTACCGCGGACACCGGAACCATCACCACCTGCACATGTGGACGAGTAGCTGCTGCTGGTGGTTGTTGGTACTGTATGCGGCTGTCGTGGTGGTCGCCTCTTTCGCTCGGGCCGCTCACTCCGCCAAAGACGGTAAATATTAACAATAGTAATTATTAATAACTTTCTGTGTGTGTGCGTGCGTCTTGCTACTCCCGCCTCTTTTTCTTCTTTTTCGCCTCCTCATCTATCTCTAGGGAGATTGTTAACACTAGTAATGTGATATAAATCCGGATTATCCGAAAATCCGAAAATTTAGACTTCGGAACTCAAATTCCGAAAATTGTCTAGTTGAAAAGTCTAATTTAATGTTGAAAGGCAAGTTGAATTGAAAATTGAAGAGGAAAGAGCACGAGTGTAAACATACCTTAAGAAACACATTTTTTAATTCTCCAGGCAGGTTTTTATAATTATTGAGAAAAAACGGAGGAACAAACGGACAAATATTTACGGCGTGGCGATGTCATAATTTTACATTATCGTAACTAAAGTTGAATTATTGTAGAAACCTGTAGTTTCCACAAAATACTTCTATTGGCCTTTTGTAGACATGGTAAACTTTTAAAAACATTCTAGCTATTTTATGCTATTTATAGATATTCGATATTTTTTTGTTTTTATATTTACTTTTGTTTGGTAGGTATCTGTGATTAGAATTATTATATGATTTAAAAAAAAAGTGTTCCTTACAACCGCGGTTACTTTTTCGTTTTTACGTAAATATATAGGCCTTGCGTAGTTAAATTTTTTTTTTTTTAAAGTAACGCGTTATATTTTTCTTACTAAAAAAAAGGGACCTTTTTGATATTACGATATTTTCAATGTCTCCCGTCTGTGGATGGGTGCCGGCAATTTATTTTACATAATATAACGTTTCCTATCAGAGAAAAGGAAACTACACTTACGTCGTGTAACTTGTTTATGGTTTTGCAAGTTACACGAATGTTTTTATTCGTTACAGACTGGAATAAACATACACGAATTATTTAATATCTTGTAAAAAGTAGTCCTTAGAATTTGCGCCGTTTTCCTATTACAGAAAATGTGTAGCATTGCCGCGCTATACGCACTACTTATATAGGTACCTGAATAAATCCCTCACGCTACCCGTATCGCTGTACTTCTAACCATTGAACACATTGTACGGAATTAACAAAGTGACAAACTGTAAATGTTAAAATACACGTAAATATATCCGTACAAATATTCAAACCGCCGTGGCCACCGTATTATTCTTCTCCTGATGCATTTCTTCGGCCCTCAATACCGTACCCCGTAAGTACAAAGCCACTGTAGTTTTGTTCTCTGCAGCTTCTATTTTGTCTATTTTATCTTGTTTGTCTATTTTGTCACCTTAACGTCCTTCTGGGCACGGTCTTCCTAACTATAAACACCTATTACGACAGCAGTCTCCTTGAAGAAATTCTCCCGAAACGGTCTTTCTCGATCGAAACTAAATCCTCAATATAAAATAAATTTAGTAAATATCGACGGTGTTTGTTTTTTTTTAAGGACGTGTACCAAATTCTCTTTTTTTTTTCAAAAGCAAAAAATAAAAACAGCAAAACAGTTTCTAATGGTGTTTATCATGGAAAACAATAAAATTACTAGTATACATAATACCTTATACATAAAGTATACGCCTTTTTAATAAATCAGTGTTGATTTAATTATATTTTAAAAGGACGCCTGGATATCTATTAGTCGACATTAATGACTTACTTTTCTGTATTTAAATATGCCATTTTACAATAGTTAATGCTCCTAATTTTAAATTCTGAGTGAAATGAAGAAGATTATGGTTTTACAAAAATGTTTTTTTTTTTTTTTTACCTGTGAACAACTTTTCTACCAAAAATCTCGCTCCGATTTTTCATTGTAACACCTTTTCTGAAAAATAAATCGATGTAGAGAGGTAGTTTAAGGAGATCACTAGGTCAATTTTCAAATTTTCCATGTGTTTTGCTCGAAAATGTAAAAAACCGAAAAAAAACATAGAAAAAACGGAAAAATATTAAACAAACATTATTATAGAAAATATATAATGGCTATTCGATTATTTGACCATGTATAGTATGACATATATATTGTTAACAAAGCATCACTATTGACTGAATTCCGTTCAGAATCGGTTTTTTCGTTAGCAATGGTTTATCGTTGCTTACAGATATACATTAAATTCCCTTTTGTAGGGAACATTCCCAACTTCCCACCTAAAACAGTAGTTACACCCGTCATCATTATCCTAGAAACTTCTTTTTCTGATTTCCTTGATACTAAAAACGTTTTTATTTTGATCTTTAGCAATATACCCTTGCAGTATAGCCCTTTAAACGAAATACCATCTATATAATCCTCGTTTACGCCAGGCCGTTGCGTGTACTTATAAATTATACACATTATACGCGCGTAGATTTATGCATATAGGTACACTAACATCGGGTGACGAAAATGTCGCCGCCCTTTGTACAAGTTTTGTGTTATCGTTCGGCTTGTTTTCCTATCGCTCTCGCGTTTCGAGACGATAATACGTAACCCAATTATTATTATTAATATTATTCGTCCCTTTAAATGCCGCACGTAATCTTCTCGACAGAACTACATTATTATTACTCCAACGAGATGGCACGCGAAATACTGCTTTTGCAAGGTCCAATCACACCGCACTAATCGATATAAATTAGTGACGACGACGACGATTTTGTATACCTTATACCGATGTGATGTTAAATGGTTTCAAATCGTAATAAATTCTCTCTCCCTTGTTATAAATCCTGAGATTGATTCACTGCAGCTGCACTCCGTCCATTTCTGTAGGTACATAGTCTAATTTCTATTTTAGCGGTGATGTCTAAGTACCAATTTCATCGTTTTGGATTCTTCGCGTAATTAATTTTTATATTCCTACACGATTTTCCCATTCAACCGTCCCTTTTATTATATAATCGATATTTCAACAGACTTTAACGTCTGATTATGTCTATTGTGACCATTATACTCGTTTCGTCGTGCCTATACCATCAAACTTTTCCAAACTTTTCTTCTTTCCGACACTCCGTTCAGCGCGTTGCGACGGCTATACATGTTATCCCCGCCCAGCTTATTCTTAACACTCTCCTGTATATATAATAATGTACAAACAATACGCCTATTAGCATGACTGAGCGAAATTATTTATTTGTTAGTGTCGGTCATTATATTATGCTACGGAACGTTATAATAATAATTAATAATTAACGCCAGACCGTAACTAGTATAAAAGTTAAAAAGTTAATTTATAAGTTGCTTTGTTTCGATAGCTTTTAACTTGACTGGTTAAATAATTATTAGAACAATAGAATATTATAAAATTATTTAATTATTTAATTTCGTAAATAATTTTAACTCGAGGCGGTTGAAAGTTGCAATTGGTATTTTCATGCACGTTTAGACCAATAAGCTGGAGTAAAATAAACTTCCTGCCATAGTCAAATTTCTGTTTTGAAAAATGGTTTGACTTTGTAAACTTTTTTTATATGTTTTGTGAGGAAATTATTTTTATCATTATTTTTTTTTTTTTATTTTATAATTTTAATTTAACAAAAAAAAAAATTATAGAACAGAAAATACTGGGGGCGAGTGTGCTACTGTTGTAGATGAAACGTTACAAATCCATGATACATGAAGTTATCTGTATGAAATGAAAAATTGCAAACGAAAAATGATTTACATAGATTATATAATATATGTTTTGAAATGCCGTGATTTGTACGATTTTCGTCAAAATGTGTTATTAAAACTACATAACAATCAACTTTTTTTTTACCACTAAGCACGACTCTATAACGAATTTTCAAGTATTTCTGTTCGGCCGATCAATTTAATCGCGATGTGATTAAACCAAATAAAAAATAATGAACTTGAAAACCACAAACGCCTATAAATAGCTCAAGAAACGCTAAAAAGTTTAAAACATTTAAAACAATTAAATCGTTAACGCCGTAAATTACATGTCCTTTTGAAAACCGAAACACGATTTATTCAGCTAAATCCACCAACTAGGTATCCATAAGGCAAAAAAAGAAAAAAATGAAAGGTCTCTTGATAATTTTTCGACCAAGATCTGTAGTGGAAAAGTCGTTAACAGACACGAACCAAAAGACGAAACAACATACGGACATACTTGGCATGTGAGTAGGCCACTGTTGTAGGTGAGAAGTTGGGGAGATAGAGGGGAAATGTATTGTATATATGTAACGAACGATTAATCATTGCTAACGAAAAACGATTCTGAGCGGAGTTCAGTTAATAGTGTTGTTTTTTCAACAATATATATGTGATATTATGGTAAAATAATTAAATAATATGTATTATATATTTTATTTAGTAATATTTGTTGAATATTGTACCTATTTTCTGGTTATTCCCGGTTTATCTTATTTATTGGGAAAATTAAAAAATGAC